GCTCTCCAGTTGACTCCTGAGGGTTAAGCAGCATCTTCATAAGGACAGAAGGTCCATGGTCATCATATCCGCCCGGCTCTGCTGGGGAAGGAAGGGCATGGAGCGATTCAGGTGGGAGATTGGATTCAGTTGGGAGATGGGGAAAAAACAAAAAATTGGGCCTCAAGGGCTCAGAGTCCAGCTGGACTGCGTGTTGGGCCCATTCTGGACATGGGGCCACCAGGACCAGTAGCCACAACTGTGGGCAGAAATGGAGCGCTGGGGCCCAGGAGCACAGGAGAAACATAAAGAAATAAGGCTTGGTCAGCGAGACCTAGGCCAGTAGGGTTCCAGCGAAACACCTGCTGGGATCTTTCTGGTGGCCACTTGCAGCCAGTGCCTTGGTAACCTTGTGCACCCCACCCTGCCCCACCATTTATGACATCATTGTTTAAGAAATCTTTCTTAGGTTCTGGCCCAGATGGGCTTACCATGGCCCCAGGGAGCCTTTTGCTACAGTGAACTGGCTCAGCTCCTTGCCTCCAGCAGAGGTGACAGCAGCTCCCTGCTGGGCCACCTCCTCATACTGAGGCAGGATATGGGCCTCAGACCTGAGTAATCCCATGCCTTCAGCACCCCATACCTGGGGCAGGACACAGCTTCCCATGGATGTCACAGGGCTAGGGCTTGGGATACTCACAAGTAGTAACCCAGTCTGGCAGCCTGAACTCTTCCTGCTCCAAAGTATAACCTCAGAGAAATTCTTCCTCTTCTTAGGTATATAGCTTACAAGAAAAGCAACTGACCTACAGGATGAGGACTAATTAGGGTGGCAGGCAGAAGAATACACAATATGGTGATTTATTCCACAATGTTGCCATTGATTCTAAACTCTGAGTATCTGGTTCCACATTTGATAATTCATTTGCTTCTGTTCAGCTGGGGCTACATATACTCTGTGACAGTGCCATAATTTCTGCAGGAGGGGTTCTGGAGGTGGGCAATTTTACTCAGAGAGGAAAGGGTTTGAATCGGTTCTTTACTTTAGCATGTGAGAACTCTCCCCATCCTACCACAGCTCAACACATTCATCTAGATGTGAAAATGCCATTTTGCACAGCACACATGAAGAAGGCACTTAGGATGTTAAAGTCTTCAAGTTAGTTTTCTTGAAGCACTACTGTTAGTTTTGCTTGAAGCACTACTTCCCTCACAGTCCTTCTTCATCCATTCGATTACTTTTATTACAGGTGTTTCTCACTTGGCACAGCCCTACCACATGAAGTTCAAGAACAGGCTTCAGCCATCCTCTTATCCATTCTGCCTTGCGCGAGGCTGGGCACCTAGGAATGGTTTTAAAATAGAGCTGATTCCAAACGTCACCTCATTTAGGGGGAATTTGGTGTTGAAATCTGATTTCTAAAGTCAGTACTCACTTCCTCTTCTCACATTTGACAGGAACTTAGATTCCTTAAACTTTGTAGCTTTTTTTTTTTTTTTTAATTAAACTAAAATAATTCTTTACTATGGGAAAAGGTGAGATACTTCACCAGAAAACAACCACATTCTTCACCTTTTTATT